GGCGCCTGGATTGGTGCGGCGCTAGGCTGGGCCCGCCTCCTCGGCCGGGGCGGAGCGGACCGGAGGGAACGGGAGAGGAGAGGGGCCGGGGGAAGGCGGTGGGAGGTCGCGGAGCGGGAAACCGAGGCTGCAGGGCCAGGAGGAGGGCGCGAGCCGAAAAGAAACAATGACGAGAAGAAACAGTGAACAATCCTCCGGGAAGGGCCCGCCAGTGTCCCCCCAGACCTGAGCTCCTTGACCGCTAGGTCAGGTCCGGGAGGCAGGAAGCCCATTCTTGGGCACACGCGCCCGAACAGTGGCTGGGACTGGACCGGGAAGGCCCTTCACCTCCTAATCCCTAATTCTGGGCACCGAGCTGGGAAGTGCGCGGAGGGGGTGACTGGAGCAGCTCACGCAGTCCAGTGCTAGACCACCCCAAGCTGCTAGCCAAGCCTTTTGTTGTCTGGCTTCTCGCCTACGGTGGCCAGTCTCCCAGACGAGATTTACTTCCCTGGGCAGAGACTGCTCAGGGAGCCTGTGCCTCTCAGACCCCCTGTCTAGTGTCCTTCACTCGTTCAGCCCCCAAAGGTTTAGGGGCAGTCTGCTCTGAGCCAGGCTCGGCCTGTCTGCCCGCAGTAGGGACACAGACAGTCACAAATCCGGGTGATGACAACTGTGATAGGAACACACCGGGGCCTGGGGAGCTGAGTGGAGAGAGAGTTGGTAGAAAGAGAAAGCTTCTTACCCATTTGCCCAAACGGCAGGCAGGAAGCGCCCTGGAATTGGGTAGGTTCCAGGTGGGGAACCTGGTGGGGCCTGTGGAGGAGAGCTGCAGTCTGACAGTGCCCTGTGGCTGGGGGACAAAGATGGGCCTGAGGGCTTCAAGTGGCTCTGTCTGGCAGAGTCTTGTAGAAGTTAGAGGAGGAGAACCTCTCTCACTTTGGAGCAGAAGGGTGACCGCTCTTTAATTTGCTTTTGTGGTAGAAAGCTTGCAGGGCAGCTGCAGATAATGTGGAGAGGAGATGAGAACAGAGGTGAGGGGCCTGTTGTAGTCCGTGTGGAGATGAGGGAGGTGAACCCCCAGCCCTGGGGGCAGTAAGCAGAGGGTCTAGGAGGTACTGGAGAACCAGATGTGACTGGACTTGGGGAGGGGAGACAACATGGCACTGGGACTTGAGGGGGAGACATCTGGACACATCTTTGAACACTTAGATTTCTGATTTTTTTTTTTTACTTTCTAGCCACAGAATGGGTGGTGATTGTGTTTCTCTCCAGTTTGTTCCATTGTATAAAAAATGCAGTCAGATAATAGGAAAATGGGAATAGCAGCCCCTGGCACTTTTTTTTTTTTCCAGATTTATTTATGCATGATGCAGGACTGGGGTACAGGCCAGAGGTGCAGGAGTGAGAGGGTCCACCAGAGACAGAGTGGGGAGCAGAACAGGCAGAGGGGGAGCGGTGGGGCGACAGGAGAGGTCTGCTGCAGCCTGTGGGTCTGCTCCCTGGCTGGGCAGTGGCTGCAATAGCTTCATAGTGCTGTGTTTTAACCCATTGCTATAACCCGTTGCTGTACCAGGGAGGGCCCCGCTCCTGGCACATTTATATCTTCCCATTTACAGCCAGGAATGTTACCCCCAGGAAGGGTTGGAATCACCTGAGGTGTTTTCTGTCACTAATCCTGGCTGGGCCAGCTTTGCAGGGGAGGAACATCTACTACCTGAGCCCCAGAGGGGGTTTCAAAGGAGGGAGCCAGCCAAAGATGTCCCCAGGGCTGGCAGGCTCCTGGGTCATGGCTGAGATTGTGACCGTGACTATGACCGTGAGTGACCTCAGGCTCTCCAACAGGAAGCAGGGTGGGCCTGGCTGCCAGACTTAGCTTGGGTGGAGTGTTTAGCTCTGTAGCCTGTGGACTGGGAACCCAGGAAGTTTCCCTTCCCTCACTTCCCAGTTGGTGTCTGGGGAGGAGAGAGAGCAAGACCCCAGGACAGGTGGTTGCAGGTGGGTGAGCCCTGCCCTGCGGTGCATTGGCATGTGGCTTTGGCTGGGTGCCCTGAGGTCAGGGGGTCTCTGTGTGGCAGGGTGAGGACTGCTTACCTGGGAGCTGACAGATCTGAGTTCCAAATCCTGCTGGTGCGTTCACCATGGGTGTCACCCACACCTTGGCTGCATGGATGGAACCCT